TCTATCTATCTCCCTCTCTCTTTAAAAAAAAGATGAACAATGATTTCTGAAAAATAATAAATTAGTTATTTTTTTATTGAGCACTGGCTTTGCTGGTGGGAAGAAGGGAAAATATAAGAGGAAATCTTGATGATCGAAACTTTCCCACAGAGCGAAGTCTAGTGGTAAGAAGGGATTAGGGCAGTTGCCACCTGTTGTAAGATTTGGATGTGGGTATGTAAAGGTAGAAGTAGTTACATGTGAAGCAACTAATGATAAGATATATGATAAAATATAATGCTGAGCCATCCTTTAACATTGAAATAAATTGTTATTAAAACAAAATGATAATGGATTGGTTTCAGTCTACTCTCAACTGAGTCAGCTTACTCTCAAAGTTTGATCACCCATGGGCAGCTTGTTTCAAATGCAGCCTCTCAGACCCCACCCCAGACATGTGGAATCAGATCTGCTATTGAGCAGGATTCTGGAATGGCCGGTGATCAGAGTTCTCCCTAGTTTCTGCCATTCATTTATTAACAAGGATCAGCTAGTCTCAACTTTGTGAGAAATAGTGATATATTAGACATGTAAGAATCTAGTTTTAAGTAATTAAAAAAAATTTTAAATCCTATTTCTTTAAAAAAAAACTCATAAGTTTATGAGAATTTTGTTTCTGTTTTTTCATAAGACAATTGAAGAACAGTGTGTTTTGAGACAGGCGTCTTGCTAGGTTGTCCACGCTGACCCCAATCCTTTGGGTTCAAGTGATCTTTCTGCCTTAGTCTACTGAGTAGGTGGGACAGTAAGCATATGCCACCATACCAGGCCTATTCAAATTCCTTGCAGTTTAAAGTTGTCATAATTTGACAATTATTCATACATAAAGATTACTTTTCTTTCAAGATATTCTTTTTATAGAAATTTATTCTCATGCAATGCCTAGAGAGTAAGATTTAGAACACTTAAATAGATACAGTCTCTTAAATTCCCAGAAAGCCAGAATGAAAAATCTGGCCCAGAAAGATCCATAGAAAATGGGTATGAATAGTCATTTGAGAGTAACAAAGTTCAGTGTGAAGATTGCTAGCTGAGGGCCTTCCAGATGAAGGCAATTGGATTTATAAAAATAAGTGCCAGATCTTAATAGATCTCTCATCTGAACAAGGACACTGGCCTGGGACATTGGTGGAAGCACAGGGGTTAAAAAAAATCAGTGATGACCCAAAAATCATGCATTATGAGCATACAATTTGTTGAATATATTAACAAATATTTTTTTTCATATGAGGAAACCCCTAGCTATTAATCTAAATTAAATTTTAGTCAATATCAATAACCAAATAAATGGGTCCTTGGCCCATTTATTGATTGGGTTATTTGTTTTTTGGTGGTTAGCTTTTTGAGTTCTTTATATACCCTAGAGATCAGTGCTCTATTTGATTGTTGTGTAAGAGTTAAAGATTTGCTCCCAAGTTGTAGGCTCTCTATTCACCTCACAGATTGTTTCTTTTGCTGGAAAGAAACTTTTTAGTTTGAGTCTATCCCATTTATTAATTCTTGTGCCACAGGAGTCTTATTAAGGAAGTTGGGGCCTAATCACACATGGAGATTAGGGCCTACTTTTTCTTCTATTAGATGTAGGGTCTCTGGTTTTATTCCTAAGTTCTTGATTCATTTTGAGTTGAGTTTTGTGCATGGTGAGAGATAGGGGTTTAATTTCGTTTTGTTGCATATGGATTTCCAGTTTTCCTAGCACCATTTGTTAAAAGAGGCTACTTTTCTCCAATGCATGTTCTAAACAGCATACTACAGGGACATAGCCACATCAGTGTTTATTATAGCAGCACAATTCACAATAGCTAAACTGTGGAACCAACCTAGATGCCCTTCAATAGATGAATGGATTAAAAAAATGTTCCTCAGCATTAAAAGATAATAAAATCATGGCATTTGCAGGTAAATGCAAATGAGTTAGAGAAGATAATACTAAGTGAAGTTAGCCAATCCCAAAAAATCAAATGCCGAATGTTTTCTTTGATATAAGGAGGCTAATTCATAGTGGGATAGGGAGCAGGAGCATGGGAGGAATGGACAAACTCTAGATAGGGCTGAGGGGTTGAAGAGGAAGGGAGGGGGCATGGGTTATTAATGATGGTGGAATGGGACAATCATTATTATCCAAAGTACAGGTGCGAAGACATGAATTGGTGTGAATATACTGTGTATATAACCAGAGATATGAAAATTGTGCTGTATATGTATAATAAGAACTGTAATGCATTCTGCTGTCATAAATAAAAAAATACATAAAATTTTAAAAATATATCAACTATGTTATTACTCTGCAGTTAATTCTAAAATATTATGCATGTCTATATGTGTTGTTTGGGATTTTTAGATCTTTGGATACTTCTCTGAAGATGATGCTCTTGCTTCCCACATGGATGAAGAAAATTTGGTTTTCCTTGTGTCTAGAAAACAGCGAATTATTATTTCAGGTGATATTTCTTAGTTTACCTTCTGGTATGAGCTGTAATATTTTTTTCAGTACATAAGTATTGGGAACTACTGTTTCCATTGAATCACCTTTCATTTTATTTTCTTGCTCATTTTTTCATAACTGGGGTTTGGAAGTGACAATTTCATATGAAGTTGTAGGAAGAAACTACACTTGCAGATAAAACTGAAATATCATTTCTCCAACAACATTAAGTATGTAAGGTGAAAAAAAAATATAAGTATTCTTGAATAGGCTCAGACCTCAAGTTAAACCTCTTTACATTAGCAGCTCAATAATGAGCTCAATAATGCATGCTCTAGTACCAAATGGAATCAGGTGTCTTTAAAATTAATTCTTGAAATTACGTTTTCAGTTTAGAAGTGCCCCCATACTTTTACTCTCAATTATCTTAGGGAGGTTTTCTGACATGTCCAAAACTGAGTTTGCCCAATCATGGAGAGAGATATTAATCCATTTAGAAAGTTACCAATTGACATGGGGCTTCATAGTTGAACCTGCGATTTGGGGATTTCCAATCCTCTCTGCTTTTGACATTTTGGGTTTTTTACCCTTTATTTCATCCAGGTTGGGAGAAGTTCAGGAAAAGATATACCCTTGAATATACTGTCTTCTAGCATTCCATCACATATTTAAAGATGAACTGGGTAGTCCAGGTTGAGTCTAAAGGTCCTTTACCAAAGCACCTGGATTTACTTCAGTCCTTTGTGAACAAAGCCTACTTTTGGCTTTTACCCTTCCTTAGCCCAGCCTCTACCCTGGGAACTATTGCCAAATAAACAGATGAAAAAGTTCTATTCTGGCCATCATTGCTCTTGAGCTGAGGAAGGGTCAAAGTGCAGAGAAGTGTTGCACATCCTTAGTAAGAACTTTGAAAGCATTTTTCTAGATGGCAGATGTAGTTCATTTATCCCTCAACCAATCTGTGTTAAGATCCACAAAGGTGCACTGGGTACCTCTTCAAGTGCTGGGGACACAGCAGTGACAGATACAAAGTCCCTGACCTCATAGAGATTACATTCTCATGGGGAGAGGCAGACAACAACAGAAAAATCAAAGTAACATATACAGTATGTCAGGTGGCAATAAGTGCCAGAGGAGAAAAAAATAATCATATTTTAGAGAAAAATAAAACAGGAATGTAGGAAGAAGAAACTGGGTTAGGGTTGGGAGCCAGAAAGGTGGTTGGGGAAGCCCCCACTGAGAAGTGGATAAAAAGAGAGAACAAGGAACATGTATTTCAGGCAGATATGAAGTGGAATGGTGTGACAAGGCAAGAATAGCGGATAGTGAGGTTGAAGAGGCAAGAGTGGACATTAGGATGGATGTACAGGAATCTGTGGACAATACACCACATTTAGTTGGAGAGCTCTATATATTCAGATCTATTTCTAAGTGAGAGGGAAAGCTATAAGAAAGCTGTAAATAGAGAAGAGGCATGATATGGGTTGTTCTTTAAATGCTTTTCTGCCTTCTATGTAGAAAATAGTCTACATCAGGGAAGGAGTAGAAGCAGAGAGAATCATAGGGGCATGGAATAGTGTGTTTTTCAATCTTTTTTTCATTAATGATCCTAAAGGAACCTGTTTATAAAATGATTTCTCTAATATCCTTTTCTCCCCCAGCAACTGTGCGACATGACATTTTTAATACCTTAGATATTAATTACTATGTATATCTGATTATATACTATATGTACACCTGTGCTTTGTACATAGAAATAGTACAATTTATTTACAACCCCCCAATGACCAATTTGCATCCCTGTGGGGGCTTCTCTGTGGATGCATGCATGATGTGGTAACACTGGAGCATGAGATTTGTTCATTTGCCTTTCCTAAGAGTTTAACAACTATAAAAGCTAAATCATCCAAAAGAGTCCAATATACATGGCTTTATCATTCAGTATGTGGCCATAGAAACCACATACTAGAGTATGTGAAGTTGGTTTGGTTTTTTCCCCAAAACGTACACAATTTTTAAAAAGACTTAATAATAGCACTGAAATAGTTTCATTCTTTTATACAAGAAATTCTGAAATAGTATTGAATATCCAGTCTGTAAATTTTCTTCTGTAAATCATGATGGTGACAGAAAAGATTCCTGAGATGTGAAAAATCTCAAAATAGAAGTGATTTCAAAAGATGTTTGGAAAACTCATTCTCTGTGAAATGTGCACACATAAGGGTATATATATATATGGTGTGTGGGTGTGTATCTTACATTTTCTCTGTGAATTCATGCACCACATTTAGTTGGGAAGCTCTATATATTTAGATCTATCTCTAAGGATAATTAAAAAGCTACAGTTGCTGGGGTTTATGGTTTTATTCTATTTTAGTTTTTAAGTAATTTAGGACTTCCTGGCAAAACATTGTTGTCTTTTCTTTCTCTTTTTAAGATTGATTTAACAAATGAATTTTAGCGTCTTCAGTGCTGGAAATTGAAATTAATATTATGCTATTGACAGGTAGTAGAAGACGGGATGTGATCAAGTGCATTGTCAAGGTTCCTCAACTGGATTTATTAATAACTGCTTCACAGAAAGGCCTAATAACTATCTTTAACAGCCAGGTAATTTGAAATCTTAGATTTTTCCCTCCATCCCTCTTTTCTCTCTTAGGCTTTGTCTATGCATTATGCAAATGTTTCAGGTAAAACAGAACCCAAAACTTTAGAGTTATTCCAAAAATAAAGCCAAATACTTAGTCATAAGGAGCACTTGGGCAATTTTTGAAGTTTTGATAATTACATTTGACATGGTTACTCAGGGTGTCATATTGAATCATGTGGCATCAACACAATTAAAGGTTGATCAGAAGCATTTCCAAGCCAATCAATTTTGTCATTACCTGACCAGGTAAAGTCCCATCAAAAACCTTGGTCATGGAGGAAATAAAATGGCTAAAATTCTGTCTCCTCTGTTTTATTAAACATAGGAAATTTAAAGAATAATTTTTATCTTTATATTCTATTTTTTGTTTCTATAAAATGAGGGAAATAGAACCAGTTCTTTTTCTCAGAGGACTATAGTGAAGATTAAATGAAATAGTGAGCATAGAAGTACTTTATGAATGATAAATTACTATACAAATGAAAGGCATTGCTATTATCAATGTTATTTCTTTTTAAATTTATAAATCTTAGACTTCTATTTTTAAAATAAGAGATTTTAAAAGAATGTATGATGATATATCCTATATAACATTTAACTATGAAAAAAGGTGAATTTTTGGTGTTAAATATATTTAAAAATCTATTAATTGATTTCCAATTAGTGACAAGCTGTATACAAGTAAAATACATTTAAAATAATCAATATATGACTAAAATTTTCACAATAATGTTCATATTTCGTTAACGCTCAACTCAAGGCACTTTTTTAAACATTGAAATCACAATCAGCCATATGATGATGATGAGTCTTCCTCCTCTTCTTCTTTTCCTCCTCCTCTTCCTATTTTTTGTTTGTTTGTTTGTTTTTTGCAGTACTAGGCATATCTCTGAGCTACATCCTTAGCCATTTTTATTTTGAAGCAACACTTCACTAAGTTACAATCTTCCTGCTTCAACCTCCTGAGCTGCTGAGATTGCAGGGGTATGCCACAACTCCCAGCCCAGGCAGTCAGTTTCTGTCAGAGGAAGGGGCCAGCTGGGCCCTGAAGCTGGTACACTGGGGATATGGAGTGGGTGTGAAATCTGGGTTCCAGCCTAGTGCAAAGCCAGATGTTCACAGTACTCCATATTTCCCTGCTCTGGTAGTTGTATTGGTTAGTTAGATGATTTAATATACACAAAGGGCTTAACATCATTATAAGCACACATTAAGTGATCTCTTTTTTTCTTTGTGCATTTTTTATGCTTTTTTTTTAGTTGTAGGTGGACACAATACCTTTATTTGGTTTATTTATTTTTATTTGGTACTGAGGATTGAACCCAGCGTCCCACACATGCAAGGCAAGTGCTCTACTGCTGAGCCACAACTCCAGGCCCTTCTTTGTGCATTTTTCCCTCTCATTTCTCCTTTATTTTCTCAAAAACAGAATGAAGAAGGTATCTAAAAAACAATTGAAGAGGAAAATAATGATCTGACTATGTGAAATAAGGTGGCATTATCATATTTCCAGAGATGCTTCATACATGCACAAAAGTGCACACACAAGCTTATAAGTGCACATATGCATACTCACAAACACACTCTCACATCAATTTCTTATAAGATAATGCAATCGGAATAAAATGCACCAGGAATAAAAATTATTTCCAGTGTTACATGCCTTATGAACAATATGTATATTGTGCAAATAAAGTAATCTGGAGGTATAGATTATGGGGACAATTTTGTAAAGTTAGCCATAAATATTCTTTATTAGGTTAAATGATAATTTGGACTGTAGCTTCAAATATCTTTTATTAGTTTAATTGATAATTTAGACTCTAGCTGAAATAGAACAAATATAGTTAAGAATGTTCTCGGTGATATAGACTGGAAATGTCATTAAGAAAAATTCTTGAAACCAAAGCTAGATTTTAAAAACTCAGAATATATAGGGCTGGGGTTGTGGCTCAGCAGCAGAGTGCTCTCCTCGAATGTGTAAAGGCACTGGGTTTAATCCTCAACATCACATAAAAATAAATAAAATGAAGACATTGTGTCCAACTACAACTAAAAAAAATTTTTAAAAAGCTCAGAAGATAGTCATAGGATTATGAGAATTTAAGAAAGGTGAGAGAGCTTTAAGCAGGTGACTTCCACTAAAGATGGATATAGATGAATAGGAGAGGAAAACACAGGGATTCTGTTCTGCTGCTCACCAGTTTCCTTTCAGCACTTTCTTTTTCCATCTAGAAATAAGTCCCTGGTTGGAAAATCCTTTTTTTAACTCTTCAGATGAAAGTCTCTGGATGGCTATGACAAACAGCTTTACAGCTCTCCATGACGCACTTTTCCTATTTCACATAATCTACTCCTTCTGAGAAGCCATATCCTAGATATTTCCTCCCCCTCAAAAACAAACAAATAAAAAAAAAAACTGGGTCATTAAGATACTTCAACTCCAAGTCCTCATCTTGGGAGCAGTTATCATCCCTCCAAGATATGGAGGAGTCTTATATCTACCACTTCTCTGTTTGGAACCAATCTATGATTCTCAGCCCCTGGGCATAATATTCACTCTGCAGATACTTACTGAATAAACAAGGAGGTCCCCTCAACAGAATGTTCTCTAAGTCTCTCAATAACTTGGAGAGAGATCTTCCAAATCAAACAGTGCTAGATTCTTCTATATAACCCTATGTTCCTATTGATCTCATTAGCATTATTTGAATTACTCTTGTCATTGCTGTTAGAATTTACATTTCCAACTTTTGGTATCAAATGTTGCTCTAAATAAATAAGAATGTGAGGTAGATTGCAGATAGAAGGAACAAAATAATTAGTCAAATGTAAGACTCTTAAGAGGACAGTCACCAGGCCTAAGGACAAGCCAAAGAAGTATAAGCCTAGCTCAATGCAAACTGAGCTACATTATTCAAGGTCAAACAGAGAGGTAACTCATGGCAGATAAAATAAGTGAGATTAATCCAAGGAGACTGTGTTTTCATAGACAGCATTCTCATTCTTAATTGTAGGGCCAACTAGGTTTCATTATTCTCTTTCTTCATTCACAGATGAGAGTTCAGACTAGCACCAGTGTTACAGTAAGTACATTTTAAAAATTTCTAATAAAGTCCAATTAGGGCTATAATGATGAATCCTTCATAATTAATCAATATCGCAGTGAAGTACCTAAACAGGCTGTGACTATGTTTTATAGATTGTTTTTTGACTAGGATCAAAACTAAACCTGGAAAGGTAGCAGAATACAACAATTACTAATT